CGGCAGCTGGGTCAACAGGCACTGTGGGGGTTTATCAACCTAGGGGGGGCCCTTGCATAAAACTTTGACTGATGAATTGGGACTAGACTGGCTTATTGAGCTAAAGCCTCTCTATTATGTGTGACTTTCCTTAGGATTGCAGGGCTGCCTGCAGGCTCCCTGAGATATATGCGAAGGATAAACATCACTGATTTCCTCTTATGAAGTGATTTTTTTTTTTTTAAAGCACTCTTCAGCATCCAGGATAATAAGGAGTAGGATGAGGATATTAAGAAAAAAATAAACAAAAGGCAGTAAGTAGGGCCATCGAGGAGTGGAATGGGGAGGAGGCATGGGGAGCAGTTTTTGATACTGGTCACGCAAGAGTTTGAAGATACAACGTTTCTAGAAGATGACCTCTCAAGCCTGGAATTTGCATTGTTAATTTATAGACCTCTTAAGGGAATGGTCTGTGTGATGTGGCTGGATAACAGATAAGCACTATGTTAAAACAGAGTAAGACTGGCTACACAGTAATTAAATCAATATGATTGAGAAGAACTCTGTTTTACTGATTCCTAGAGAAATAACCCTGGAAACGTTTCAAAATTTTTAAAAAAGGTCATTTGGTTTAAGTTCATCTGACACAAAAATTAAAGCATCTTTGGCAGTGGTATGAAAAAAACTTGTGTTCTATAAAAATAAATCTTGGATGGTATGTAATTGCTAGAATTCCTTAATTTCCACTCCACACGAACATTTGTTTGGTTCTGAAAAAATGTAATTTAGAGCAAGCAACCAGAGCATGATGCTTGGACATTTGGAAACTAAGTATTAAGAGCTCTTGAAAGCTCCACAGACATCTTTACCCCAATTTTGGGAAGAGAACTGGATAGGTGAGCGATCACCTGAAAATAATTCTATTTTTTAAAAAACATATTTTTGTCTTAAAGTTTTAGTTAAGTAACCTCTACACACAACGTGGGGCTCAAACTCATGACCCTGAGAGCAGGAGTCACACGTTCTTCTGACTGAGCCAGCCAGGTGTCTCACATGAAAACAATTCTTGAATGCATAGGATGAATACCACCAATACTACAGAATGTACTATGTTCTAAATGTATTATTTAACTATCTAGAAAGCACTGCACAGAAATGAGGAAGGGGCAGAATGATCAACTGAGCAAAGGGGTACAGTAGAGTGAAATAATTTGATGAAGGGTCTCTCAGTAAGGAAGATTCAGAGACAAGACCAGTTGACATTGTGTCCTGACAGGATGGACTTGTTCCTAGTCTTGATTAGTCTTAGATGGCACTAAATTTTAGTGAAACTAAAATTATTGCCCACCTCCTGTACTCAGGGTATTAAAATCTGTTTTCTGGACATGTGGGCCAAAGGAGCTCCCCTAGACCAGGGCAGGCAGGACCCAGTACTAGAGAATTTCGAGGATCCAGTGATTTGACTCAGGAAGCTGGGTGATTCGTGTTGACTTGATCCTAACTCCACCCTGTCACGAGATGCAGCTGGTTCACCTTTGACGATATTCCTGAAGTGTGTTCAATGTTCTTTTCATTTTTTTAAGAGAGAGACAGAGTGCTAGCAGGGGTGTTGCAGAGATGGAAGGAGACAGAATCCAAAGCAGACTCCAGGCTCTGAGCTATCAGCACAGAGACTGACTCGGGGCTCGAACTCACAGACCACGAGATCATAACCTGAGCCGAAGTCGGACACTTAACCGACTGAGCCACCCAGGCGCCCCTCAATGTTCTAACATGGAGGAAAATTCATTCCTTCTCTACTTTTCCCTTAAATGACTCCTAAGTTCTAGTTAACCCTTAGGAAAACCTCGTTGTAGTGTTATGGAATTTTCATTTTTTAAAATTATAAATGATGAGTTTTGATTTTTCTAACAGGTTATCTTGCCATCCTTTCTGAGAAAGATGTCCACTGTAAAATGAATGTAAACTTGTATAAATGATTATGTAACATATAGCATTAGGCCAAATTGTCCTTATAGACTGAGGAGGTAATGCTGTAAACTAATCTAGTTTTGCCAAAATGACTTAAAAAAATTGCATACGGTTTTTAACCTCTCGTGTCTTTCTTATGTGTGAGTGTGTGTGTGTGTGCAGGGAAAAGTAGAAAAAACATAAATCTTATGGTGAGTAAGAATGTAACTTCTATGATACGAAATATAGAATATAAAAATTTTATAATTTGGTGCTATTCTCTTCCAGGACCATGAGTCATGTGCTGTTTGAAAGTAATAATTCTGAAAACCTTATTGTAACGAGTCTGGAAGCTCCTTCACAAGAATACAATTAACCTAAGATTTTAATTTGAGTTAGTTTTTGGTATAACAAGAAATGTGTATCTCTTGTTTCTTTTTGTTTTGGTTTTTTTTTTTTTTTTTTTTTGGTTGATGAGACTCTTTCTTCAAATTCTCTCTCAAAAGTTTTGTAGAAACAGTTTGGCTCTGAAGCAGACATCCTGAATACTGTTAAGCTAGTAATTAGCTCATGTTTCTAAAATAATCCCCTTCACATATACTAAAGTGTCTGCTTATATAGAACTTCAACTCATCTAGGGAGAAATACTATAATAATAAACGTTGGCATCCAAATTGAAACAGCATGAGGTTCCCAACAAATGTTTATGAAAACATTTGTTTTCTTATAGTCGGTTTAATCTTGAAATTTATGTCTATGCCTGTGTACAAGGACAGTGTGTTTGGGACTCTGTTATGCCCCCCGCCTTCTGCAAACCAAACACACATCTGAACCCTGGCCCCACACGTGACAGGACTCACCAGAAACAGGCACCGTAATGAGAAGTCAGGACTTTCAGGTATGTCACTCTAAGACCACCCTACTAGAGAAGGCCCTCAGATCACAAAGCCAAGGTCCCTTATGGAAACCCTGGCAATTAGACACTAATAATGGATTGAAGGTGTAAAATTCACCTCAGTTCACCACCAGCAGACTAAACAATCCAGATGACGAGAGAAAGGTTTGTGAGAAGGAGGAAGAATTCATTACAATACTACCAGGAAGCTTGTAAAAGCATATCGACTTTGACAAACATAATGAAATAACAACAACTATTTTGAAATGAAGGGCATTAGATCTGAGTGAAATCCCTAGACAGACACCATTATGAATCATTAGAATGCTTACTTTGTGAATTAACATTAGTTTGATTTTTTTTCTTAATATTGCCAACTTCAACCACCACTGGAGTGCCTGGTGTTTTTTTTTTTTTTTCATTCATTACTTTGCTTTTCATAAAGAGGACATTTGTTTCATACCCAAGGAGGAAAAGATCTACAACGTATAAATAGGTGCCTCTCTGATCGTGGAAGAAAATGATATGCCAAGAGACCATTTAGGACTGATCTCTCTCCTTTTTGTTCTGTAGTACCAAGGGCAACTTATATTTTTCTCAAGAAAGGTAGTGTTTTGAGGTATGACAAGAGGACAAAACTCTCTTATTTCGTTTTTTTGGGGGGAAAAAACATACACTGTAACTTACAGATAATATTTTTAAAGTGTAAGTTTGCTTTTAGCAAACTTTTTAGACTATTAGAATTTATTCTTCTAAAAGAGACATGAGGGGTGCCTGGATGGCTCAGTTGGTTGGGTGTCCGACTTCAGCTTAGACCATGATCTCACAGGTTGTGTGTTCGAGCCCTATGTAGGGCTCTGTGCTGACAGCTTGGAGCCTGGAGCCTGCTTTGGATTTTGTGTCTCCCTCTCTCTCTGCCCCTCCCCACTCATGTTCTGTCTCTCTCTTTCCTTTAAATATAAATAAACATTAAAAAAGACTTTTTAAAGAGACGTGAAATTTGGGAATTTAAATATGCAAATGGGCTCAGGAAGTTAAGTGAATACAGAAAGAATTTGAAATTCACAGCATGGTAGAGCTAGAGTCTGATGACAGTGCATTCAACAATAGTGGTATTAGAGGACACCTCGGTTCTGTAACAGTTATTTCTAAACTGATGACTAATATCTATTCGACAGTATATAATTTTATCAGCTTCTGATAGTTCTGTGATGGATGGGTTGAAGAGAGCAAGGGGGGAAATGTGTTCTTTAAAAGATTAAACATTCGGGGTGCCTGGATAGCTCAGCTGGTTAAGTGTATAACTCTTGATTTCAGCGCAGGTCATGACTGGTTCTTGAGATTGAGCCCCATGTCAGGCTTTGTGCTGACAGTATGGAGCCTGCTTGAGACTCTCTCTCTCCCTCTCTTTCTGTCTCTTCCTTGATCGTGCTGTCTGTCTCTCCCCCCATTAAAAGAAATAAATAAACATTAAAAAAATAAAAATTAGGGGTGCCTGGGTGGCTCAGTCAGGTAAGCATCCGACTTTGGTTCAGGTCATGATCTCACAGTTCATGAGTTTGAGTCCCGCATTGGGCTCTGTGCTGTCAGCTCAGAGCGTGGAACCTGCTCCAAATTCTGTGTCTCCCTCTCTCTCTGCCCCTCCCCTGATCAGGCTCTGTCTCTCTCTCTCAAAAATAAACATTAAAAAAGTATATAAAAGATTAAACATCAAGTCTTCCTCTTGCTGAGGTAAATGACAACATTTCTTTAGTTTCCATTTGTTTAGTCACAGAAGCCTGCATGAGAGCCGTGAGCTTCCAGATAGTTTTGAAATGAGGCTCAGATGTTGAAACTGCCAAATAGCTTATCTTGATTACCTGACAAAAAAAATCATACTGAATAGCTATAATGTCTGCCAATATGTTTCTAGTTTTCTAGAAGGAAAAGGAAGGTTTATTGCTTCCAACATGAAAGCCAAAGCCACAGCCTTTCACATCAGGGTTCACATAAGCAGGGTCAAGTCTAGTCCTCATAGACTGGATTCGAGGTTCCTCCCAGGACATTACTTAGCATATGGACAAGGCACAAGTGGTCACCTCTGTTGATTGCTAATTGCAATTCATCATCCCGAATGTGATGACACTAAAATGCTTGGACAAACTACTTGACTTGAAGGAATATAAAGAGATCTCACCTTTTGGGATCTACGATTTTGTAGAGTTTTCCATTGTGAGACTGGGTCATACTTTTACTACTTGATAGAATGTAAACTTCACCTATGAAGACAAAAATACAATAAGTTAATTTACAGTATTATAAGGCCTTCCTTTCTATTGTCTAAGCAGATATTTTATATAAATGAATGGATATTTTATTTATTTGTTTATTTAATTTTTTAAATGCTTATTTATTTTTGAGAGAGAGTGAGACAGAATGCAAGCAGGGGAGGGGCAGAGAGAGAGGGAGACACAGAATCCGAAGCAGGCTCTAGACTCTTAGCTGTCAGCACAGAGCCCAACATGGGGCTCAGATCCATGGACCATGAAATCATGACCTGAGGCGAAGTGGGAGGGTTAAGTGACTGAGCCACTCAGGTGCCCCAATAAACAGATATTTTATATTTATTTTTTATATCTATTTGAATATGTGTATACATATGTGTATACATATGTATATATGTATGTGTATGTATATGCATGTGTGTACACACACGTGTATGTCGTGTATCTGTATCCCTCTATATATTTCCTCACATCCTCAAGAAGATCACTTGCTTAAAAATGATGAGAGTCTCTGGGGTACCTGGGTGGTTCAGTCAGTTAAGCGTCTGACTTCAGCTCAAGTCATGATCTCACAGTTCATGGGTTTGAGTCCTGCATGGGGCTCTGTGCTGACAGCTCAGAGCCTGGAAGCTGCTTCGGATTCTGTGTCTCCCTCTCTCTCTTTGTTCCTCTCCCACTCACACTCTGTCTTTCTCTCTCTCTCTCTCTCAAACATAAATAAACATTAAAAAAAGTTTTTTTTTTTAAAGATTATGAGAGTCCCACAAGTCTACTTTCACAGTGCATCCAGAATTCAGTCACTTCTCTCTACGTCCTACTACTACTGCAGAACAAGCAGATACCAGTTTGTCCTGGATTAGGGCAGCAGCCTCCTAACTGATCTCCCTGTTTCCCCCTTTGTTCTTCTATGTTTAATTTCATCCACAGAAGATCTTTTAAAGCAAGTTACATCATTTAAGTTGAATCACGTTCCTTTGTTTCAGTACTTTCAATGAATGGCTTCTAATCTCTTTTAGAGAAAAATAAGTCCTGATAATGGCCTATGATGCCCCCCCCCCCCCCCCCGCCCCGTATTGCTCTGACCTTATCTGCAATGCTTTGCCCTCTTGGTCACCCCTCCCTAACCTCAATGGCCTCTTGGCTTTGTACACCTGAGGCAGCTCCTGTGCCTGGCTCCTGTTGAAGGAGGCCCCTCTGTTTCAGGCTCTTCCTGTCAGCTCCTGACTCAGTTCCTATCTCAGCTTCTGTTCCAGGCTCTACCTGTCTCAGAATCTGTCTGAAGTTGTGCCAGCCTCCTGTCCTTCACTAGACCTCCATTAGGTTGACTTTTCTTTCCCCCTTCAAGTTTGTACATAAATATCATCTTTTCTGACTATTTAAAATTGCACTTCTCCCAACGCTATCTCAATCCTTTTTCACACTGGGACTTTTCTCCAAAGCATTTATTACCAATTGACATTATATACAGATATCTATATCTATATACATATACATATGTATACAGCCAATATGGGGCTCAAACCCACGACCCCGAGATCAAAAGTTGGATGCTCTCCCAACTGAGCCAGCCAGGTGCCCGCATATGGCTCTTAAGTAAAGCCAAAGAGTATCACATTATGGCATAAGTAAGTGAAATCAAGTTTAATTTTAACTATAGAGTATACATGATGCTGTAGCTTTTGGACCGTAAGGTCTGTATATGCTTTATTTGTTACGTCTGCTCCCAACTTAGTTTTAAGTGGAGATAGATGTTTGGATATTTTAACCAATGGTGGTGACACTAACAGGATAATTGACGGTGACTCATTTGCAGTAAGGTCTGGGGAACTCAGAATGATTCAGTTACAACATCTAAATATTCATTTCTAACTGCCACAATTTAATCCTCATTTATATTTTAAAACCAGGGTTTGCTAATGAAATTTAAATTACATTACAGAGGATTTCAGTGAAAAAGAGTATCTCTTTGGTTTTCTTGAGCGGGCTAGGAGATACCAAGGGAAAATTAATTGTAAATGTTTTCAATGTTGGAACAAGAAAAGAACAGATTGGACTTCTTTTCTTTAAATCATTATATTCCTGTGGCTCTGAAATCCATGTTAAGCCCTTGTTAAACTAAGTGACTGGCATAAAACTATTTACTGATGAATCCCCAGTTTGGTGTATAAAACCAAAGCTGGACTCCTAGAGAAAATATTCGGATTCAGATGGGAAACACAACTCTTCTTACTTAACACCTAAAAGTCATTTCTGAGCCTAACGGAGCATAGAAGCTCTGGTTTGTTTGGGTGCTGATCTTTAAACAGTATCATTATGAAAGCTGTGTTTATCTCTATAATTTAAAATAAGTAGCATTTTTTTCTCTTTGATTGCATTCCAATTTCAACTTCTTTTTGCTTGCAGTTGTATACATTTTGATAATATTTTGTTCATTCAGAAGCTAACTTTTATTCTGTTGGAAAGCAGATCTACAAATTCAGCTTATCTTACACAAGTTGCATACCCCAATGGACCAAAAAAAAAAAAAAAAAAAAATCAGAAATAGAGGATAAGGTGAGACTCAAATTGCAACAATTTTTAAAATATTTGGTCCAAGAGACGTGGAAAGGCTTTCAGATAGAAAACAAATGACACAGCTTTACCTAAATTTTAATTAGATATTTAGGATTTTCTCTCATTAGGACTCAAAAATTCTCTTTTGTTCTTGCCTTCCATTTTCCTGCTTTGTTACTTTTATATTTATGGAGCAGAGATAGGATTGAAAGATGCCCAGGGAAAGATCATTGGGAGAGAACACATGCCTGGGCCATCTCTCATCTCCACAGGAGGTCATCTTTGCTGCAGGTTACCACTGCCAGCAAATGCAGGACGAGAGGGTTATTATTAAAACAGAGCCTCTTGGGCAAGGGAGTGAGAATGGAACTTAATAGAAATAGTTTGTACAGTACCTAATTCATCTTCTCCAAATCCCAAGATGTGACCTGAAAAGTAACCTCTACAGGAACCACTGTTGCCGAGACAGAGTGGTTTTTCTTGCCATTGCTTGCTCACTGGACTTTGCTGGAGGGTTAAGAAATTCCTACAACAAAAACATACCATAAAATTACAATGAAACTATGTGTTGGCTTTAAAAAAAAAAAAGCAATAAAATGCTCAGAATAAAGCTCACTAAATCATTGTTATGCCATAAACCTGGCTTCTAAAAGGAAAAGGAATATAGCCCATAATGTGTGCAAATGCTCTGAAATTCTCATGTGGGGAGAAAGTACTTAAAGATAATATTTTGTTTGGAGGGGGGCACTAAAAGTACCTGAGTATGAGAAAAGCCCTCCCCTTCATCCAGAGAATGATACTTCCTCTCCAGGACTAGACTCCATGCTGTGCTATTAATCAGAGAGAGGGACAGGGGGAAGATCATGGGGTCAGTACACTTTTCTAGTTCCTTTTAGTGACCAAGCATATCAGCTCTGCCACATGCCTGAATGCCAGTGACTTGGGAAACAAGATTCTTAATTTGGGTTTCGTCACAGAGTTCCTTCTAACTATCCACAATGTGACCTCTAAAATTCAGGCCAAAATGTAATTTTGTAGTATTCTTACCAAAAAAGACAAATTGAGTTCTACTGTAAAAAGTCCTAAAACGTCTGGCAAAAACAAAATTTCTTAGCCTTCCAGTTCCCAAATAATTTGGAAATATTTGTACAACTCAGGTATAACAATGGTTTTCAAGTTACTCACTATCATGGTAAATTTATTTTAAGGGTGAAGGGAAAAGTCTACATCATATGAAAAGTCCATCTGAAGACTTCTCTCCTCTTAAATATTATATTATGAATTTAATCAAATTTGTTGAAAAAGCATCTCTTAGGAAGTTCATTAATAAAACCACCATAGATAATGAACTAAAAGAAAATAATAATCTTCATATGTGTACCTGACCTGACCCCCAAAGGGAGACAATCATTTGAATATTTTATGGCAGTTTGCCCACTAATTAGTGGATATGGCATTTGATACATGAAATTACGGTATCAGGAAACCTACCCATTACGGTCTCCAAACACATAGCTTCCATACAGTCTTTCAGACTGGCAGCCTCGGTAAACAAATCCACCCACCAAAGGACCATTGCTGAATGGCTTGAATTCTAAAAGTGATGGCTCACTTTCTGGAAAGAAATAAACATAACATTAGATCAAATGAAACATATTTTTATGAAATAAAAGCAACATAGGCAAAGTAATATTATTATGGAAATTTATTTTCCATCTTACAAGCTGAATCCTTGTCATAGGTATTTAGTAAAAATAATTCCCATTGCTTAATAATATCAAATATAAAGAGCCTCCATGCACATCATACTGAAATGGAATGCTCTATTGAATGCTTGGTGTTATAATTGCCACACATACCAAATTTTCAATGACAATAGAATCTGGATATTTTGGAAATCATGGTTACTTACTTAAGAACCAAATACTGTTAAACAATTATAATTTTGTATTGTTTTTTTTGTAGATATGCCTCTGCATATATTTAGTAAATTAAGCCAGACTTCTATCAAGTTATATAAAATGTTTGAGATTTCATCTTTTTAATGGAGATAAAAGTATAGTGCATAAAAGGTCCTTAAAACCACATTTGTAGGGGCGCCTGAGTGGCTCAGTCAGTTAAGCATCCGATTTCGGCTCAGGTCATGATCTCACGGTTTGTGGGTTCGAGCCCCACATCAGGTTCTGTGCTGACAGCTAGCTCAGAGCCCGGAGCCTGTCTTTGGATTCTGTGTCTCCCTCTCTCTCTGACCCTCCCCTGCTCATGCTGTCTCTCTCTCTCTCTCTCTCAAATAAATAAAACATTTAAAAAAAAAACCCACATTTGTATATTTAAAAACATTGTCACTCAAGTAATATCTTCATTTAAACTATTTTAAGAGTTTTGTTTAAAGAGTTGTATGGTTAACAAAGTCTGTTGCAGCCAGTCTTTTTTAAATTACATGTGTATAGTCACATCTCAATCTTTCCATTTGTGTCATTATATAGTTGATATGTGTACGCTAATTGCAATGGAAAAGATGTAAAGCCAGTTGCAAATTAATCTGAGGATTACTTATTATGTGCTTAATGTCAAATAAGTCACTATCAACATGCAGTATTTAAGCAAAAGTTTTTGTGGAGAGACAATAATGTTAAAGTAATTGTCCCTTCCGATGTAATTAGGGTGAATATATTATCAAAAGTAGAAAAAATTAAGTTTTAACTAGTACACTGCAAGGTAGCATAACTTCAAGGTCATGAACTCTGGAGTGAGTCAGCTTGGGTTTAAACCCAGGCCCTGCCACTTTATGTTGTATGATAATTAATCTTTGTGTGCCTCAGTTTCCCCATCTGAAAAATGTGGCCAATAATAGTGTCTATCACATGGAGTTGTTCTGTGAATGAAATGAATCAAGTTTATAATGTTAGTACAGGGGCTGGCATGTAGTCAGTACTGACAGATGGTACTTTTGTTTTCATTTTTGTTTTCCACTTTACTGAAGTAAAAATAAATAAAATTCTAAAATATTCAAGGAGTACATTGTGGCAATTTGATATATGTACACTTGGGAGAGGATTCTGTGGATGTGTTTTGAAAACCTAACTATAAGGCTATCAATACTGTAGCCAGTTTCAGCTGGACCCCAATTAACGTGATAGGAGAATTTAGTTTAATCCACAAATATAGCCAAAATTCCATCAAACTAGTGACTCATGATATTTTTTTTCCAAACCACATTATTCTTTGGTTTGGCTTTTATAAGACGTGTGTGTGCGCACACACAAATACCTGAAAAAAAATAAAGTAAAATAACCGAATACCACATGAACTAACACAGCTGCTTCATTCCTGGTGCTAAATAAATATCTGTATTGAATGAGTAAATAGAAGAAGCAATCAATTTAATAATCTTAATCTACTGTGTTCCCTGACTCATAATAATTTTGATATATTGCTTCCTCCAAAAGGAGTAAATACTAAAACACTGAAAAATATTAAGTTTTTTGGACTTCGTTATTTTCTGACTTTATTTTGTATATCTAAAACACTCTAGTAATCATGTTAGTAAAAGTAATGTCTAAACATCCCATTTTCATGACTTGGGTAAATAACAAGTTTTCACGTGTCTATTGCTTTGTTTTCTCTACAATAGGTATCTTAAAGAAATTACATTACTATTTGAAACAAGTGTTTTCTAATTTTTTTTTTTCTAAAAGTTTTTCTAATTGCTGAGACTGGCATATTGGGTATTGAGGAATTTCTTACCTTTAACTCGTTTTTCTTGTGCTGTATGTTAAGATGTTAAGATAAATTCTGCCTTATATATTAAATAAATAGAAGTTACCCATCTTACTTCTCAGATGAGCAAAATATACACAGCTAATTTTTGAAGGTCCATTAAATTTTTTGGACCTACAGAGAACAGTTTAATCCATGGGAAAGGTAATTACCCAAATGGAACTCTTCGGGCTTGTAAGAGTCACTGGACCTTTAAAAATGTGTGCAATTTACTTGCTTACCACTGTTAGGTCAGTGTTTTTATGCTTTGCCAAAAGCAAATTCATTTTGTAGAAATCCTCTTCTTTTCAATTAATATGCTAAAATAAAACAAAGCCCAAACTAAAGCCAAATCAACAAATTATGCTCTACTTACCATAATCTTTCCCCTTTATTATCTGTAGAATTCTGGCTGATGATCTGTTCTTTCCATCGGAGTCTGAACAAAGTATTGTTAAATTGATGTTTATATCAGTGGGATGTCGATCCACAGCACATCTGCATAACAAAAGAGGGACATCCATGAATTCCTACCAGCGTATTTTCTAAACTGAGATTGGAGATTCCTGACATAGGAACCCCTTTGTGGGCTGGCAAGGATGCTGTGGGCTATTTCCTTGGATGCTCTGCAGAAATATCCTAATTTGTTTGATCACTCTGCTGAAGCTAAACGATCCCCAGAGAATATTGCCTAATTTCCCTTGGTATCTGTCTCTAGTACGAACATGCACATTGACTTGAAACATTTGTCGGTGTTATTATTAAGGACTATCGCATAAGTAATACACGGGGAAGGCACGCGAACCAGCAGCCGCAGCAACTCACATCTGCAACACACCAACAGCATTCGTTTTGGTAATTGTTTTGTGTTTGTATATGGAACGGCTATATTCTAAAGCTCAGGCTGCTCTAACAAAGGAAAGAGAGCACTACAATGTAGGGAATAAAATAAAACTGGTCCCCCGCAACCACTGAAGTCTCTTATTTTACGTTGACTCTATCTTCATGTCATCCCCAGTCTGGGGTTAGAATGTTTCTATGACTTAAGCCACCAACTCTCAACTCCATGAGTGCAGGGACCCCTCCAACTTCTTTATCACTGTGTTTCCGTTACCTAACTCAAACCCAGTGATATCAAAGGGGCTCAATATTTGTTGAACGTTTAACTCAATGACGGACTGGGCGTGTTGAGTTTGGGTTGCTGGAAAAATGAAGCTGTATAATACAATTATTTCTGAAGTTCTCACAAATGTGGAAAACAGTGTTGCTTTGTTTTCAGGTTTCTCAACTTTGACATTCTTGACATTTTGAGCCAAATAAATCTTTGAGTGGAAAACTGGAAGGAAGAGGTTCTGTCCTGAGCATGTAGGAAGTTTAGCAGCATGTCAGTAGCATGAACTCCTCCTCCAGAGTTGTGAAAACCAAAAATGTTTCTAGACATTGCCAAATATGCTCTGGGGGCAAAATCTTCCCATTGGGAATCACTGTTTTAGGTCAAAAAAATACATTAATGTCTTAACCAAACCAAACCTTTGGGGCTTCTAAATAAACTAGAAAACAAAACAACCTGGGAGTAGGTTCTGGGGCTTAAGACACATTAAGGGTCATATACAGCAATCATCTCAACAATAATAATAACAACAAAATAAAAACGGTTGCATCCGAATGATCCCATTCATAATAGGGAAACTCTAAGCCTGACCTGCCAAAGATGAGTTAGTTGTTCTGTGGCAGAACAGTCCCTGTATTGTCCTCTCTAATTCAATGATTCACAGAGTACAATGCCTGGCAGGGAACATGACACAGAGGCGATATGACTTAGGGTGTAACTAAATCCATGGATATGGAGAAATTTTTCCCATATTGCCTTTCTTTTAAAGATGGAGAATCTACGACAAAAGAAGGTCTGACCACTTTCTATCAAGAAAAGAGCAAATCTGGAAGAAAAGGCCAGGTCTCTCAAAGGTGGAGGTGCCGGATGCCATCCAGTCTAGTTCTGGCTGAATACTATGTCTGCTGAGAACCACTTGACCTTTCTAATCTTTAGTTTCTTATGGAAAAAAAGAGGTGGGTACATGTGGGTACTGGTCCTTATATATCTGTCCAAATCCACTGTAGGTCCACAGTGAACCCTAATGTAAACTTTGGACTTTGGGTGATAGTGATGTGTCCAAATAGGTTCTTCCATTGTAACAAATGGACTACTCTGGTGAGGGATGTGGCTAATGGGGAGGTTAGGCATGTACGGGGGCAGGGGGCATGTGGGAAATCTCTGTACCTTCTGCCCAATGTTTCTGTCTTTAAAATCGAAGTCTTTGAAAAACAAAAAAAGGAAAAAGGGTGGTACCTGATGCCAGCTACCTCAGATACTGCCTGAGTGGCATAAATGAGACAGTGTGTGCAAGCTACTGAGTTCAGCACTGTGCACCAAGGTGCTTAATACAAGTCAGCTTTACTGTTAGCCAGTAATTGTTTTACTTTCCTTTCTGCTTTATTAAATCATTCTCTGCTTGACACACTCTTGGAGGGAGGCACAGGCTCCCCGTTGCTGCCAGAGGAGGTAAGACTCCACAGCTCAGGCACCCTGCCATATGCAAGGTCTGTAAACTGCCTCATCCTGAGTTTTTGCACTGAGGGTCCGGGACCCCTGGGAAGGCTGCATGAAAGCCTCAGTGGGATTGTGGTGACTCAGGTTGCTCAACTTCAAAGTGCTGCTTTGCGGTGGTATCTGCGAGTTCTGAGCTATAGGAATGGAATGTGACAGTTTCCTCCACATCCTGAACCCACCGTAAGTACTCCCTGTCGCACAGATTTTAAGATCTGCTGAGATGCCAAAAAGGAAATGAACTGTAGGCTTGGACTTTGATGGAAGGGAGATGAAGGGCATGAGGGATTATAAAAATAAAAAGTTCGAGAAATACTCACCTTGCACATAGTGAACACTCAATAAACATTAAATGGCAATAATAACTTAGCTAGTAAATGAATGAATGTGGCCAAATATCCCATAGTATGAATAAGAGACCACAGATGGGATGAAGCTTTCATCACAGAATTGCTATATTATACTTTAGAGCATTTTTTAAGTGTACCCCAAATTTCTCACTCTACATACATCTCAGTGTTCCTTTCTGTATAGTTCACTGTAGTAAACAGTCCGTATGAATTCCTTTAGCATTTATCATTTTCTTTTCAGGTGAAAAAAATGTCCACATTGAGCTCAACTCCTTACAAACTGATACTGCATCATCATATTTAAGTGAAGCTGTGATAAGAAGCACAATTTATTTAAAACCTATCAGGTGTGTCAGGCACTCTACGTTGTGCTTTTTTTCTAGATTTGCTTTTAATCGTGACAGCACTTTCCAAAGCTATTACCACCCCCATTGGATGCATACAGAAATTTTCATTTAGAGAAGTTTAAGGAGAAAAATAAAAACATTTATTATCTAAATCTGAAAAACTGAAGTCTTAATCATTACACTAGTCCAACAGTGTTTAATAATAACACTCTAGAACTTTCAGGCACTTTTTCTCCATAAATTTGTTCTCTTCCATATGTCTAATCTGCTGTCTCAATCTGGTTCACACAGTAATAGAAGAGTGCTGAGATGATGAGCTGGTGTGATTTTACAAGCGGAACCTTGGACACCACCTGTGGCTGCTCTGTGCCTGGAACCCCTCATTCTCTTTACTGTTTCTGAATCCTGGCTGGGCTGGGCTCTATAGCAGGCAGGGACCGGGTGGGGGGCGGGGGAGGGCAGGATGTGCTCTCACCTTCCTGGATCGTGCAGGCCGTGCGCAAACACTTCTGGGGGCTGGTTGGTGCTGTTGAAGTGCGGGTTACTCCTGGGTATGGAATAAGGCACGTTGCACATATCTGTGTCCACGTCCAGCCGGAGCACCGACCCTGTGAAATCACTGAGAAATTGGATGACGAGGGTCAGTATTTTCTGCTTTTGTTACGTATTTCACCTAAACTAAATGTGGGAAGGTCGCTGGACAGTCAAAAAAAATCATTCCCCCATTTGAGACAAAATTATTAAAGTTACAAATCCATGTCGTGGGAAATGACACCGGGGATAGTTTGGTTTCGCACAAGCGGCAGCACGGCGACATAGCTCAGTAGTGGTCAAGGATTGCTGCATCACTAGCGCGCTGCATTTTACAGCTGGTCCTTATCTTTTGCCAATCCCTGGGTTTTCTGTGCCCCTGAAAGCACCACTGGACTTTGTGCGTCCCTCGTGCAAACCACGCAGCACTGACTCATTCTAGCACATCTGGGTATAGCGACTTCCAAAAATATCATCAGCGTATTACTGAATTTTTCTTCATTTTATAAATGCAGACACCCATAATAAAACTTAAATGTTTAACCAAGGCGACATAATTCTAAGACTGCCATCCCCACCCCCACCACCCCCACCCCCAAAGACAGCTCTTAACTCACTGTTTTGACCCATTTTCCCCTGGCTGGCAATTAAGACATTTGAACATCAAGGGGAAGTTTTTTGATTTTTTTTCTTTTTTACCTTAACCCATCCATTTCTTCCATATCATCCAGTGTGATCATCCCGTCACCAAGAATGATGTACAAAAAGCCCTCAGGGCCAAAGAGCAGTTGCCCGCCTAGATGCTTTCTGTGGAGTTCGGCAACTTCAAGAAATACTCTGGCTGTTCTCAAATCAACTTGATGAGGATTTTTTCTACATGGAGGGGAGGAAACAATACCATGATTGTTAAAGGTGTGAGGTGAATCCACTAAAAGTAAATGGTACACAGACAGGGAAGCAAACATTTGGTGTGTAAATAAGGAAACATGCTTGAAATGGAACTAATAAACGTGACTGAAAAATTATGTTATTTTCTAAGTTTCAGAAGTAACATTTAAGCTGAAAGATAATTGTGGAAAAATGCCAAAGCTATCATTTTTCTCAATTCTCTTTAAGGACATATAGGGGGTTTTCAGCAAGGTGGAGACTGTGGTTTAATTACGGTCACCGTAGCTTCTGAAATAATAGAAGAAGAGATAATGAGAAGATGAGATTGAAAAATATTTACGTTGCCGTGCATTTTAGTGAGTGATACCTGGATACTGTGTATTCCACAACTAGAAGAATGTGGTCATGAGGCCCGATAGCCCATCGTTCTTGGTTGGTGGTATAAGACACATACAGCTTTCCATTTTTCTTGTAATTGGGATGGAATGCAAGGCTTAGCAGACCTCTTTCATCTCCTCCCTGCAGTCAAATGAAAAACACAAAGAATTGTGAAGTTAATTATGTTCTTTATTGTGTTTCAACTGGAACCCCAAAAGAGTCTCTTTCTTTTCTTCTGGATAATCTTTGCCCAAACTCTTTTCTTTCCTTCCTTGCCCATTGCACCAAAAGGGATTATAAAACATTTCACTCTGCGGAACTCTTTAAGGGTTAGAACAAGACAGTTGTCTTGTGTGGTTATCTATGCGCAAGACTCTTACACCACTTTTGTCCAGTGATTTGTGTATGCAATCTTGGGAAGCTAGGAGGACAAGTTTAAGTGCTGTGAAGAATTCTTTGCTGGGTTACTAGGTTGCTTGTAGCTCATAGAAGACAAATAAAAAGGTTCATAATCAGCAGTCACTTCTAATCCAAGTCTCCCAAACCTAAAACACAGTGTGGGCTGCCAACTCCCACTGTCTTGGCAATATGTTTAGAAAACAGTGAAATTGCTTGTGTAATATGTAAACCTTTGTTTTACCCTGGAGGCATCTACATCACTTGTCACAACGATGGTGGTCTGTTCATCATAAGTAGGTAATAAGCAGCCTTGGCCTATCTACATAGGAATGAGGTATTTTTACACGTACCCTTTCACAGCATCGAGTTTTTCTTTAGAGAAGGAACGTAGAAACAGGAGGAGAGCTATACACCAGGACTGGGGCGGGACTGGGAGAGATGCTAGAGAGTAAAGCGAACACTAGGAAATAAAAGAAAGATCCCAAACAACTTTCTTTGTTATTACATGAATGTCAAGGATTGTATACATTAGGCATGCCAAATGCTGTAACAATTAAAACATCATCATGTTCTTAAATAGAAAGGCATTTTATCCTTATTTTCTGCTAATTCAGCTTGATGAAACTCAATACGGTCTTAGCATTTGCTTTATCCCACAAGTAGTCCAGGGATTTCCATAATGAAATTATAGTATCTGAAATTATCTAGATCAGAGACTTAAAAGTTCAAATTCTAATAAGCCAGCGAGTGCTTTCTCTGTAGTCTGAGGCATTATCTAAACTGGTGAAAAACATGACAAAGAAACTGAATGAAGCAACTGCTAGGACATCACCTTGCCCACGCTACTTCATTACCCATCACATCTCCTGAGGCAAACAGCTAGAAGTCACCCCTTGAAAGTCTTACAGGAGGGAAGCAGTCTCAAACACTACGACTTCTTCACAAGGTTGTGCTTGGTAACGGAAGCACTCTTTTGCTCTTCTTCCCCAGAAGAGCATGTGTTACTACCAAAGCACGGAGCTGTGTATGGTTGGGATTATACATCTACTGAAGAATTTAAAGTTGTAGGCATAGGGGCGCCTGGGTGGTTGAGCTTCTGACTTCGGTTCAAGTCATGATCTTGTGGCTTGTGAGTCAGAGCCCGGCATTGGGCTCTGTGCTGATAGATAACTTAGAGCCTGGAGCCTGCTTTGAATTCTGTGTCTCCCTCTCTCTCTCTACCCCTCCCCCCTTCATTCTCTCTCTCTCTCTCTGTCTCAAAAATAAATAAACATTACAAATGTTTTAAGTTGTAGGTATACAAGTTCACTTTTAATAAACACTGTTTGATTTATCTCTTGGATTAGAGAAAAACTGCTTTCAGAGAGACGCCATCCAAAGTAGAAACATCCAAACTTTTAAATAATAAAGTGGATGCAAATATTCCAGAACTACCTAAGTATAACTGGAGTGTTGAAAAAGCCAACCTCTTCATTTGTATGTCACAATATGCTTAATATTAATTTTAATCAAAACAATCTCATTGAAGGGGGTGGATCTAATGACTATGATTAAGGAAAATGGACCTCTATTTTTCAGATGATCTAATGGTGATTTTTTTTCTGATAGTGATTTTAGTATTGATTTGATGTTGCTTTTTTAAATAACTTCATTAAAAAGTTATCTCTTCTCATGAGATGTTGAAAGCTGGGATGCATGCCTAAGGATTGATTGTAGAAAAACATATTTAAACCTCTTTGGCGGATGTATAAGAAAGCTGAGGGGTGGGATTTAGTTTGTGATTAATTCCTCTTCCAAATGTATTTCACTTTAAAGCTGCAGTGCAGGGTAAGTACTTTATGCCCACTTCACAAATATTTGTGTCCCACAGTAAGGAGCTTTTGCTGAAAGCAGTTCTTTTGTAGTTTTTAATCAAATCATCTGGGATACAATTTGAGTTGGATAGCAGCATGGCTTAAAACTGTACGAACTGCTTTTCAGGAATTAAGAATGTAGAATTCATGCACTATAGAGAGACAAGGAAAGAGATTTAAACAAATCCACAAGTGACAGGAGATAATTGTTCACTTTAGAGATTCACCTGTCACATAAATGAATTTTATCATATCATATAAATGAAATCATTGGCATTTATTAAGGTGCCAAATATGGAAATGGAATGAAACATTTGAATTACAAGAAAATCAATTTAAAAATTAATTTTAAAAAGTCAGTAATTCTGAATTTTTTAGGATATAGGATTTACATTTGTTTAATTATTATATTACATATGATTTCATATTTTTTATTTTTTAAATGTTTATTTTTGAGAGAGAGAGAGAGAGCACTAGTGGGGGAGTGGGGGAGGGGTAGAGAGAGAGGGAGACACAGAATCTGAAGCAGGCACCAGGCTCTGAGCTGTCAGCACAGAGCCTGATACGGGGCTCCAACTCACAGACTGTGAGATCATGACCTGACCTGAAGTCTGACACCTAACTGACTGAGCCACCCAGGAGCACCTGATTTCATATCTTTAAAGTCAGCTTCCAGGTAGTGATCTGGTTGGCTCTTAGAAACACGGCTAATTATTCTTAAGTTATTTCAGAGAAATACTCACTTTCCTAACTATACCGCTAAAAAAGTTAATGTATTATGTGAGTATGCTAGAGTTTCTCTCAAAATTAGCTTTGTAAGCTCTGTAGTATAATGTGAGTCCTAAATGTTTAGAGATTGGGAAGGGGGATATATCACCACTGTCAGGAGATTAAAGTATCAATAGGCCAACATTCAGCTTGAATTGGCCTTCAGAGTTATGTTGTTGGTCTAAAGTATGTTACTGACAAATCATGATTTATGTCACAAGTACAAACCTATCTTTGAGGTCTGGATCATTTTTCAAGATCTGTATGAAGAAATATGTTGATTGGGCATGAAAGGTTTAATTCTGAAGCAGGATCTATTAGAGGCCACAATGCCAGAAACACCACTGGACATGGGAGGCTTCAGCAACATTCTTTCACCAGGAGACTGCCCAGCCTGATATCCTGAGCTCTGGTGCCTGGAGGTAGGGTAGGCCAACAGACCAGCTCTCCGGGCTCAGGGGAAAGCCCTGTGCTCACGTTACTGACTCTCTTCCTACTCCTCCCCGTCTTCTCTTCTCAATTATGTGTCACTTCATGGAATTAAGGATCATGCACTCCTTCCAGAAATGTCAAATTATCAAATTGTTTCTAGTGAGCATCTGGGGAGAATGAACCCCTAGTGATTAGTTCAGCCAAGCTGGCTAAAGAGGGAGAAAAACCATTAACAGAAAGGCAAATGGACGAATCATGGTCCAGGGAGCCATTCCTTTCAAAACCACAATGACTTCTAACCTTATACTTTTGAAAACATTAGCCAAGGTCCAAAATACTTATCTTGACTCATGTGAAAAGCAGTGATTTATCAAAACATTCACATCATACTTTGTACTTCATTATTAATACTGAATGCTTTATGTGTGCATTGCGCTTCCAGGAATGTACATCACTGCTAGAAATGGGCAACAAGTAATTCACAAAAAACACTTTAGTATTCCCTATTTGTGTAATGCTTTTTCTGTTTTGTTTTGTTAAAGTTAACTGTCTGAAACTTTTCATCCAAGCATCATAGGCTACCATGGGAACTTCCTTCCCCTTTATTCAACCTGCATCAACCCTGGGGGCAACCCCACAACCAAGCACAGGTAGTTGAATGATTTGAAATCATGTCCCTGTATACTTTAAAATCTTGAGCTTGACCCATGTTTCAGAGTAAATCATAAAACCCTCCTAGAGACGTTAAATAGGTAGTTAACTGCCTTTCTAGTTATCATTCAGCTTTCAGGAGCAATTTCACAGGGTCAACAGCAAAGAGACAGAAACTCCAGAGAGTATTGACGACGCTAATGTAAGTACAAGATCAGCTCTAGTCCTATAGTTTTGGAACACTCTTCCCTGATGAACACATCAAAATTCTAACCAATTGACTAAGAATATTCCTTTTCTTTGAAGAAAAGGGAAGCATCTATTAGAAAAAGAGAGGTAACGAGAAAATGATTAGAATAAAAAGGATTTTTTCTTTTTAAAATTTTTTTTAAAAAATTATTTTGAGAGAGAGAGGGACTCAGAATCCTAAGCACGGTCAGTGTGGAGCCCAATGTGGAGCTCACAAACCACAAGATCATGACCTGAGTCAAAGTCAGAAGCTTAACCTACAAAGCCACTCAGACGCCCCTTTCTTTTTCTTTTTTAAAAGAAATTGTGGGAATGGTCTCTCATTGATTTTTCAGAAAAACATTCCCTTCCTACTTTCAATGTGGTTAAAGTTAATTTTTTTCTGATTACTATCTTTAAAGTTTGTCTTAACCTTTTTCAGGGTTATATATTTTAAGACACAAGACTGGGCAGCACTGAACTAGAAGCACCATTTCTCATTTCTGCATAGTTTTTCTTAGTGACCCTGTAGCAAATAACTAGCTTCAAGTTAGGTGGTCTACAGAATGGCCTTATGGTATTGTGAAAGCAATGAAGTGTAAATTGAACTAAATAATGCAGTGCTAAGTTCAAGATGTGCCTTGTCATAAATAGTCTTTGTAAGAAGATATTTGTATTTAACATTCATTCAACAAATATTTATCAAATACCTACTATGTGTTAGGCATTGTACTTGGCACTAGGGATAAGATGAGACAATAAGAACAAATCTCTGTCCTTTAGAAGCTTACGGTATGCATGAAAGCAGAT